TTTTCAATGAAAAATAAACGTGGATTTTTTAAAGAATATTTTTTTTCAATGAAAAATAAACGTGGATTTTTTAAAGAATATTTTTTTTCAAGGAAAAATAAACGTGGATTTTTTAAAGAATATTTTTTTTTCAAGGAAAAATAAACGTGGATTTTTTAAAGAATATTTTTTTCAAGGAAAAATAAACGTGGATTTTTTAAAGAATATTTTTTTCAAGGAAAAATAAACGTGGATTTTTTAAAGAATATTTTTTTTTTCAAGGAAAAATAAACGTGGATTTTTTAAAGAATATTTTTTTTTCAAGGAAAAATAAACGTGGATTTTTTAAAGAATATTTTTTTCAAGGAAAAATAAACGTGGATTTTTTAAAGAATATTTTTTTTCAAGGAAAAATAAACGTGGATTTTTTAAAGAATATTTTTTTCAAGGAAAAATAAACGTGGATTTTTTAAAGAATATTTTTTTCAAGGAAAAATAAACGTGGATTTTTTAAAGAATATTTTTTTAAAGAAAAATAAACGTGGATTTTTTAAAGAATATTTTTTTAAAGAAAAATAAACGTGGATTTTTTAAAGAATATTTTTTTTCAGAGAAAAATAAACGTGGATTTTTTAAAGAATATTTTTTTTTCAGAGAAAAATAAACGTGGATTTTTTAAAGAATATTTTTTTTAAAGAAAAATAAACGTGGATTTTTTAAAGAATATTTTTTTTTTAAAGAAAAATAAACGTGGATTTTTTAAAGAATATTTTTTAAGGAACGCCAATTTCGTATCCACCCTATTATAAACCCCTTTTCCATTTTATATATTTTTTCACAATTCTTCATCTTGATAAAAACTTTGCTATAGCTTATTGCAAAATCCCTGGGTTTTGTGTATGTGTCATAATCCTTGCAACTACTACCACTTCCTTTTTTTGTGTGCGGGGCCGACATGCACTCGTCTTCACAGGGCTTGTTGTTCGTAATGAAACTAAAACGTATACTTAATATTTAGCCTCAAACTCCTTTTACTTGAAGTACACTCTCGTTGATGTTGACGACGACGATGATGAAGAGGATGCTGCTTCTGTTGCTGATGTTGACGCTGATGGCTGACTGCCACAACAGCTCGAGGAAGAAAAGTGTGTGTGGCGGCTGTGTCACTTATATTTGCCTGTTTATTTATGCGGTAAAATGGGTTTTTGTGGCTTTAAAGTCACTTCTTAAAGTCAGTTCGTTTCGTCAGTTATTTTGACTTTTATCTGGTGTTGAGGGGGAAAAGATCGAGGAAAACCCTCAAATACATTGCCAGCTGGAGGGCAACAACGCCACAACAAAGTAATGATGTTGAGATACTGATGATTGGCCATGCACTATTTGTTTTGTGACACAGGGACACAGAGCGATATACCAAACACTAAACTTTGACTAAACCTAAGAGGGGTTCCTTTGTAGTTGTAGCTGTTCCATCTAATAACCAAGTGAAGAGATTGTAACTGCTAGTGACATTTTTAACTTTTGCCGTACTCTTAAGGATTTCCAGTCATTTTAACATTTTCCATTGGCACCGCGACGCATCATCAAGTCTAGAGTGTTGCCACAATCAACAGCAAAGGTACCGCTATTTATTTCATCATCCACATCGTCAGTGTCAACTATGGCATCGCCATCACCATCATCATCCTCAACCTCATCATCAGCATCTTCATCATCAAGGGATTATTTTCACTGCAACCCAACAGCAACAACAAACAACAACATTTGTTTGTGTCTCCATTAAGGATTCATTTAATTTGACTAAAAGTGTTGGTAATTCCACCCAGAAAGGATACCTTAAGTTACCCGGCATCGTCTTAAGTAAATTGCGCACAACTTAGAAATTAACAAATGGTTGAAAGACAAAAAACAAACAAAATTCGTTGTTAGTTCAATACTGGCAGGATACTTGAATGGGGAAATACTATTTTGTTTTATCTTTTAATTTGCCAAAGAGGCAGCTACTAATTGAGGGTGGTGGTTGCTTGCGGTTGCAAATTGAGTAGTATTTTAGACTGATATTTAAATTAATATTTGTTTAACCTAATTTACAACACCACGTGTTGTAGGTATAATAAATTTGATTGGACCAAAAACTTCGTAAAGCCTCGAAACATTGGTCGTAAACCAAGTATGTTAAATATCGATCTTCCTATCTCATCGGGCTGAGTAGAACTAACTACACGCTACAGATCCCAAACCAAAATTTAGCATGGAGTTAAGATTAGGGTCAAACTGCGAGCCTATTGCTTTGGGAGATGACCGCCAAGCATTTAGGGGTTGAAATGGACCAAAAACACAATTTTTTCCCGAGATAGCAGTTGCTTTGCAGACCACAATAAATGATAACTCGACGTGGAATTTTGCATGGGGTAAGAGTTTTAGACAGAACAGAAGCCTACCAATAACAAAAATATTCTTTAAAAAATCCACGTTTGATTGGTCCTTGCAAAATTATTCTTTACAAAAACCAAGTTTGATTGGTCCTTGCAAAATTATTCTTTACAAAAACCAAGTTTGATTGGTCCTTGCAAAATTATTCTTTACAAAAACCAAGTTTGATTGGTCCTTGAAAAAATATTCTTTAAAAAATCCACGTTTGATTGGTCCTTGAAAAAATATTCTTTAAAAAATCCACGTTTGATTGATCCTTGCAAAATTATTCTTTACAAAAACCAAGTTTGATTGGTCCTTGAAAAAATATTCTTTAAAAAATCCACGTTTGATTGGTCCTTGAAAAAATATTCTTTAAAAAATCCACGTTTGATTGATCCTTGCAAAATTATTCTTTACAAAAACCAAGTTTGATTGGTCCTTGAAAAAATATTCTTTAAAAAATCCACGTTTGATTGGTCCTTGAAAAAATATTCTTTAAAAAATCCACGTTTGATTGATCCTTGCAAAATTATTCTTTACAAAAACCAAGTTTGATTGGTCCTTGAAAAAATATTCTTTAAAAAATCCACGTTTATTGGTCCTTGAAAAAATATTGTTTAAAAAAATGCACGTTTATTGGTCCTTGAAAAAATATTCTTTAAAAAATGCACGTTTATTGGTCCTTGAAAAAATATTCTTTAAAAAATCCACGTTTATTGGTCCTTGAAAAATATTCTTTAAAAAATCCACGTTTATTGGTCCTTGAAAAAATATTGTTTAAAAAAATGCACGTTTATTGGTCCTTGAAAAAATATTCTTTAAAAAATGCACGTTTATTGGTCCTTGAAAAAATATTCTTTAAAAAATCCACGTTTATTGGTCCTTGAAAAATATTCTTTAAAAAATCCACGTTTATTGGTCCTTAAAAAAATATTCTTTAAAAAATCCACGTTTGATTGGTCCTTGAAAAAATATTCTTTAAAAAATCCACGTTTATTGGTCCTTCAAAAAATATTCTTTAAAAAATCCACGTTTATTGGTCCTTGAAAGAATATTTTTTAAAAAATCCACGTTTATTGGTCCTTGAAAAATATTCTTTAAAAAATCCACGTTTATTGGTCTTTGAAAAAAATATTATTTTAAAACATCCACGTTTATTGGTTCTTGAAAAAAATATTTATTTAAAAAATCCACGTTTATTGGTCTTTGAAAAAAATATTTTTTTAAAAAATCCACGTTTATTGGTCCTTGAAAAAAATATTTTTTTAAAAAATCCACGTTTATTGGTCCTTGAAAAAAATATTCTTTAAAAAATCCACGTTTATTGGTCCTTGAAAAAAATATTCCTTAAAAAATCGACGTTTATTGGTCCTTGAAAAAAATATTCTTTAAAAAATCGACGTTTATTGGTCCTTGAAAAAAATATTCTTTAAAAAATCCACGTTTATTGGTCCTTGAAAAAAATATTCTTTAAAAAATCCACGTTTATTGGTCCTTGAAAAAAATATTCTTTAAAAAATCCACGTTTATTGGTCCTTGAAAAAAATATTCTTTAAAAAATCCACGTTTATTGGTCCCTGAAAAAAATATTCTTTAAAAAATCCACGTTTATTGGTCCTTGAAAAATATTCTTTAAAAAATCCACGATTTTTTTTTAATCGAAATTTACTGGTCTCTTTATACTTGAAAAAAATTAAATGATATTTTTGATTTATTAAATATTGTTATATTGAATGCTTTAGCTTATGTGGAAAATCCCTTCACCATACATTCCATAAAGTGCTGGGGATTCACATTTGTTCAGCCGAAAACAATTTGGTATGGATGTTGTGTATACATTAAAGTTAATAACCAAAAGTGATATCTGAATTTGACATTTAAAAAAGACAGAATATTAAAAAAGTTCGTTTAATATCACCTGAAGCATTAACTTATGGACGAATATTATTTACCTCACACGCACAGAAGACAGACACATACACTCATACATACACAGCTGGCATAAAACACGCGCAACCCATTAAAATATATTTTTAATTTTTTTTTTCGGTGACATGATAAATGTGTAAGGCTCAACCCCTTTCCCTTAGGCTTACAAACAAATGGGATTTCAAAATGGGTTGAGAAGTTGCAATGGTAAGGAGTGGCGCGGCAAGGAGTGGTGGGAAAAGGGTGTTGGATGTGATTACATGTCATTGCGTTTGTGGGACAGGGAATTTAAGGAGAACTTTTAAGTTCCATGTATGTAAGTTTCGAATATTTTTAAAACTGTTTAAATTTTCAGGGAATTTTATGAATAACTTTTAACAGGATTACCAGATTCTGGCACATTTTTAATCCCATGACAATACACTAACCCACTTACACACTCTTATCCAAAAAACAATTGCAAAAGAAGTCTTTATAGAATATTGAAAAAATTTAAAATTAATTTCCGAAAAAAGGAGGATTAAATAAAATAATACGTGTCACTTTCAATTCACCTTCTTAATCTTTCATTACCAAAAAAAAAAAAAAACCAAATGGTAATTTGACACAATCGATATTCAAATATCTTCGAATTGGAGTGTGAGAAAAATAAAAAAACAAACATAAAATCTGCCTACCTTGTAAATCTGAAGCCATTCAATGGCAAAACCAAAACATCGATTGTAACACCGAAGGACACCATTATCGCTGATGACAACACGCCAACACGACAGAAAAAAAGTGGCTTTGACAGGAACAACAGCGGCAACATATTAAGATACCTGTAAAGATAATAAAAAAAAAACGAAAACGCAATCAACGAATGACTAAATGAAGGGAAAACGAAACTGAAATAAAAAAGTAAATAACATTAAATCTAATGTACCAAGTGTCACAATGTCGATATACTCTGTCTGTTCTGCCCTGCCTGTCTGTCCGCCTGTCGCTCGATACGATTTCGAGTTGATTTTCGTACAAATATGAGTGTGTCAATTGTCAAACATTTGTCTGTAGATTCAGTCATTTACAGCTGCCAATGTTTCGAAAATTGTATTGGTTTCGAGCGAACAAACACACACACACATGCACACACACACGCATGCATACAGAGATCACAAATATCTTAAGGCATTAAATGCGACAGTTTCCGTTTCCTCTATGTCACGTACCCATGTGTACGCACACATACACACACACATGAACATGGTTTTTGGAAACCATAATGAACAGCAATTTATGCGTGGGGTTGTGAAAGAGGATGTATTTCTTCATTTGGTAAGATATTAAGGAATCCCAGCTAACATTTTTCTGATTTTTTCCGAATTCGGAAAAGAACTCTTCACAAGTTTTCGATTCTGATGTCGAATTTTGAACAAACTCGGAAAAAGTAGTTTGAGATTGCCCAAAAATATTTAAGATTTTTTTCGGGAAGAACGTCAGACTTTCGTGGCGAATTCGATTAGAATGCTCAAAAGAAAAAAGGAAAATTCGGGACATTTTTGGATGTTTGATACAAAATGCGCAAAACTTTCGGATGTTTAATCCAAAATTTGGAAAAAAATCTATGGATTTATTCATATAATTCATTCAAAAATCGGAGAAGTGTCGGATGTTTGATCTAAAATTCGGAAAATTTTCAGATGTTTGATCTGAAACTCGGGAAATAATCTGATTCTTATACTTATGCCTAGAGCAGGTATATATCTTTTGATACGGTCAAAATGTGGCTAGTCGAAATAACGGTTTTAGACCCTAGGCATCTTCAACCAAATCCGTTTAAGGACATTAGGAGTCGATCTAGCGATATCCGTCTGTCTGTCTGGTGCTCGCTATAACTCTTGAAGGGAGTATCCGATTTGGTCCAAATTTGGTACATCGTAATATTTTTGTGAAGCTTAGATCGAGTTCGGAGATGGGCAATATCGGTCCACTCCTTCTGGTACCTCCTCCACAAAAAGGTCGAATTTTTCAATAAATAGATTTTCTGCACAGAAAGAGAAACATTAATACGATTTTGCTCCAACTTTGCAAATCCTAATATTTGCATCACCTCCCGCCTCCCTCACAAAGGGTCAACATTTTGAATAACTACAACTCTTATAAAATGTGATGTAACAGTCACACATCCCAATACACATCCACATCCCTAACCCAAAATCTGATGTAAAGATAGAATATATCGGTTCACTCCTTCTGGTTCGACATTTCAAAAAAAAAAAAAAAAAAAAAAAGAGAAGAGAAGCAATAATCCGATTTTGCTCGAACTTTTCAAATCCTAATATTTGCTGTAGTTCTAGGTCAGGACCAGAAATGGATAAAATCGGTCCACTTCCTCAAGTGTCTCCCCCATAGGGTAAACCTTTTGAATCATTACAACTCTTATAAAATGTGATGTAAGAGTCCGATTGTCTTCAAATTTCACACGTCCTAATATTTTTACTAACACAAAGTCTGGTGTTAAGATGGAATATATTGGTCCACATCTTCTGGTCCCTCCCTAACAAAAGGTCGAAATTTTCCAAAAAAAAATTTTTTTCCGATTGTCTTCATATTGCACACATTAAAATATATTTTTAATAACCTAAGGTCTGGATTGAATATATAGGTCCACTCCATCTGGTACCTCCACAACAAAGTGTAAAAATTTTGAATATCCATGAAGCTCAAAAATTAATTAATTAATTGAAATTAACATCCGATCCCATTCAGACTTGGCACATCTCAATTTTTCCATCAACGCAAGTTCTGCTATAAAAATGGTAGAGATTGGATTATTCCTTCTGGTACCTCCCTCACAAGGGTCAACATTTTGAATGACCAAAACTATTTTAAAATCCGAAATTAGCATCCGCTTCCCTTCATCCCATTACATCTACTAATCCAAGATATTCTGTGAAGATGCGATATATCGATCCACTTTTTCTGGTACCTCCCCCTCAATGGGTCAACATTTTAAATAACCACGAAGCACATAAAACGCCAAATAAATATCCGATTCCATTCGGAGTTGGTCCATCTCAATATTTCTAATAATACGAGATCTGTTATAAAGATGGTGGATATTGGAAAATTCCCTCTGCTACCTTGCACGCAAAGGGTCAAAGTTTTGAATAACTAAAATGATCATAAAATTCGAAATAAGCATCCGGTTCTCCTCATATTTCACACATCCCATTATTTCTTATTAACACAAGATATTCTGTGATTTATCGGTCTATTCCTTCTCAGCGAAGTTCCGATTCCATTCAGCCTTTGCAGATCTGAACATTTCTTCTGATATCTCCCAACATTTTGGTAAACAAAGCGCTCAACGAAAACAAATATTTTTGCTAAGACAAGTTCTGTTCAAAGGTCATAATTTTCAACACTTTTACCTGTCATAACTTGCGAAACAAGTCGCCGATTCTTTACAATTTGCTATCTCTAGATATTTCTCTTAACCAGAAATCTGAGATGAATATGGAATTTATGATTTCGCATAAAATTGGATATAAATGTTCGATTTTCTTGAAATTTTGTCCAAACCAATATTTTTATCTGTATTAGATGAAGTATGAAAATGGAATACTTCGGTCGACTCTATCTGGTAATTCACACACATTTTTAATTTTTTTGATACCCTCCACCATATTATGGAGGGTATATTAAATTTGTCATTCCGTTTGTAACTCCTCGAAATACTCATGTAAGACCCAACAAGGTATATTTATTCTTGATCAGCGTAAAATTCTAAGTCGATTTAGCGAGGTCCGGCTGTGTGTCTGTTGTAATCACGCTATCTTTCGAACGAATTTGGCACACATTTTTATTTTTCCAATTGGCAGGTTAAGTTCGTAAATGGGCCATGTAGGTCTACGTTTTCATATAGCCCCCTTATAAGGGTATCTCCCTATATTCGATATTTTAATGATTTTAGCGACATTATTAACTGGAATTGTTTCAAATTTGGTATTTGAAGTTCGAAATGGATACTACAGCAGATGACAGAAAATTGCCTGTACAGGTCCTCGTCTTCGTATAGCCCCCATATAACGGTAACTGTCAATATTCGGTATTTTGATGATTTACGCGACATTATTTACCAGAATTGTTTCAAACTACGTAGGTAGAGTTCGTAATGGGATCTACAGTCTGTGACAGAAAATTGTCTATGCAGGTCCAGGTCTTCGTATAGGCCCCATATATCAGTACCTCCCTATATTCGGTATTTTGTCGATTTTAGGTACAATACTTACCGAAATTGTTTGAGATGTCGTATTTGAAGTTCGTAATGGATGCTATAGCCTGTGACACAAAATTGTCTATGCTGGTCCAGGTCTTCGCACAGCTCCGATATAACGGTACCTCCGTTATTTTTGATGATTATAGCTACATTATTCACCGTTTATTTCAAGTTTCGAATTTGAATATCGTAATGGCTTATGACAAACAATGCCTATACAGGTCCACGTCATATAGACCCCAATATAACGGCTATATTCGGAATTTTTAAAATTTTAACAGCATTTTTTAAGGATTTTATTTTTTGAAAATTTCCAAATTCGTTCCAAATGGTGCAAGGTATTCAATGACCATATTGGCCCATTCCTTGGAAACTTACTCCATGGGGATCAAAAATTTGAATAATCATAACAGAAGTCAAAATACATATACTCAAATAATTAAACATAGGCTGAGGGTATACATCTGTCGGTAAAACCGACTGATACTTTTTTACTTGTTTTATTAAAATAAAATAAGATGGGATCATTAGGCCTAAGGTGTACAGCTCTCAGAAAACCCGACTTTAACGTTACACCCTGTCATATTTTGAACTACTTTTCAAATTCTTATAGATATACCCCTCGCATTCCATGGATGAGCAACGATGATTGTCTGTCTGTCTGTCCGTCTCTGTGATTCTATCATTTCGTTAAATATGGGTATTTCATATAACGTTCGTTTTTTTTTGTCGCTTTTACATTTGTGTGTGTTCGAATATCATTTGGTTTCGCATGGTGTTACAATGTATCTAGATATAAGTGTGTATGTGCGTATGTGTGTGCACACACAAGTGTATGTGTGTGTGTGTGAGTGTGTCATCAATATTACTAATGGGAAAAGGATAAAGATAAAGCTTTAAAGTATACATTACAGCGTTACAATGTGTCACATGAACTCTGCTGAACTGATGATGACAACAACGGCAAACGGCAGTGGCAACAGCAACAACAACAATCATCATCCTGACGACAAAGTTGGTTGGTTGGTTTACGCGACTCAGATGTTGATGGTAATGCTGACAAGGATTTCGAATGATGTCAATGTGTGTGTGTGTGCGAGTGTGTATGCGTGTGTGTGTGTGTGTGCGTTGTTACAACTGTAAATGTTTAAATGGTTTTTGGGGTGCCCCATTAAATATGTGGATGCTACAAGTGCGCCCGTTCGCTCAACTAGATGAAAATCTATATCCCACCGGAGGGCATAAGTTGAGCACTTGTATTTCGGGGTTTCGTGTGCGTTTAATTTAATATGGAAAATGGGGTTTCAGCTCCAGAAAGTACCACCAATTTTCTGCTGTGCAAGATTTAATGGTTGCCACTTCCATTCCCCAGCGTATCTGGCACAGCTGGCGAATTGCTTTCTGCACTCCAAATTCAACAATGAGAAAGGAGTGAGGAGGAGAGGGGGGAGGATGAAAAACATCAGGTGCTGCATGCCTTACGATTTTTGATGCTCCCTTTGTTAAAAATAGTAGATTTCGATGTTCGACAGAAAAAGACATGGAAGCAAACCCAGGAAA